GGCAGACCTTGCAATTTGGTATGTGGTAGCCCCGGACGCAGCAGTCAAAAGCGTGAAGCAGCGGACTGGGTCTAGCCAGGTTGAGGCGGAAGCACTAGGCTGTGCTAGGAGATGCTCCGAGAGGTCAACCTCAACTGGATCAGTTTCAAGCCGGACACCGAGAACGTCACCATTGCGAAGGGGGGTGGAGATGGTGGAGCTGATCTGCAAGGCGTCAGTGGACGCGAGGCTGCATGCTACGCTGAGCAGATATTCAGAATTGGTGTGCCTAGGAACATCGACACACCAAACCTCAACCCCGGCATCAAAGAAAACAGTGACATGGGATCTATCTCTCGGTGCGGCAACAAGATGCACCTGCCCAGCCGGCATACCACCTGCAGCGGCAAAGACCTGCGTTCGACTGGACCGGCCCGCCAGGGTACGGACCTCGGCAGCGGCGGCTGTGGCATCAGTGTCCCCCAGAAGCTCGACAGTGTGTGACTGTTCGTGCCAAACCTTTATGCTAAACCTAAGGGTATGGGCCGTGCTACCAGGAACAGGCCACAGCGAGCCCTGCCCGAAATCCCCGAAGTGGTGCCAGAGAGACTGCAAACGCCTGTGTGCGGAAGGAGTAGCAAGCCGGGCCGAATCGACAGCAGCCGCAGGCGCCAACACAACATCTCTGGGCGAGGCTGGGGCGCTGTGAACTTGGACGGCATCTACAACCGCGAGAATCTGAAGACTTAGACCCACACGGGTGCCAGGAAGGGAGGCTCCGTATACAAGGAGCAACACATGTCGCAACCACCGGCATGGCGAGTTAAGAGAGCTCGCAGAGGTATCTGGCCCACGATCGGTCTCATCTTCTAAATCGGGCACCGCCCCGTATCGAGCGCCAGCAGCAATAGCTGAGGGGGGGGCATCAGTGTTAGGGGCAGCTGAGGCAATAGTGGCCACATGAGGGGTGCGTCCCCCGGCCTCGTCTCCCAGTGGAGGAAGAACAGTGTGTTCAGTGTGTAAAATATCTCCGCCCCCGACATTCCTATCCGAGCTGGAGTCGTCGGACACAAAAATGTGCGGGAAGAAGCAGGACGAAGGGCGGACCACCAAGCAGCGGGGCGGAAGGGCGAACAGCACGTTCCTTGTGCAAAACTCCTAGACGGGACGCCAGGCAATCAGCAATCCAGTCCTCCGGGATGTCAGCTCCCGAGGCAACCGCAGTCTGCAGAGCCGAACACGCCGTAACCTGCTGCTCGGCACACACCGTCATAATGCGCCAACCCATAGGACGGAAGTCCAACACACAAGGCACCTGGGCCGCAGTACAATGAATCTCAAGAAACTGAACATGGGGGAGCAACGGAAGGGGTTGCCAAAGCCGCATTATGCCGCCCCCAGGGGGAGGATCGGCCTGCAAACTCGGCAAAGACCGGAACCTCAATATAAACCAAACCGTGAGGAGTAATCAACACAGCATGATTAGCGGAGAATCCCTGGAAGATCTCATGAGGTGGAGGTGAAGGCAGAGTGCTGACCTGCATGTTAGTTTGCAGAGAGACAGGTGGCTCCAGCGCAGTCCCAAACAAAGGCTGAAGCCCGTGCGGGTCAGGGCCCGGAAGAAACTGAAGAGTGTCCACCCCGGGGGCCAAGAGCGGCTGCGACGCTAAGGAAAACCAGCCCCAGCAACATCGTCCCAGGATGCCGGCCGCAGGCCTGAAGATTCCTTGGTGGTCCATAGCAGCAGCGAATAGGCGGCTGCATGTGTCGTCACGGGCACATCGGAGCAGGCTAATACGGCCTCCCACAGGGCGAAGGTCAACCGGAAGACGAACTGAGTTCCAGCCAAGATCGACGGGAGTAAAGAGGAGTTGTTCGGAAGGAAGGCCGGGGAGGGCACTGTGCAAGGAAAATGCAGTGAACCGATACTCGCCAGCCCCAACAGACAGGAGCAGCCGCCGATGAAGACAATCACCGTGGAGACGCTCATCAACTGAGAAAATAATGGGACAGGGCTCGAGGTCAGGCTCTCCCCCGGATCTTCCCAGAAACATAGCGACCTGTCGACGTGGTCTTCTGCTCGGCGTAAGAAGGTGGTTGCCGGGGCGGCCTAGGGGGAGAACCTCACACAAATCCTCCTCCTGGGTCGTTGTCGGAACAGGTCCTGTGCTGAAGACGGGCCGACCTTCGTGAAATCCGTGGGCGTACAACTGGACGCCTGATGTGAGGGATATCCCCCCGAGGAAGCAGGAATGCCATAGCGAAGACCCCACATGAAGAGCTCTGGCGTCGGCCCCGACAAGATACAGGAGAAAGACCGTTTTCCAGGGATGGCGGGGCCGTCCTCGGGCTCGGCCGCCAGTGCGACATGCTGAGTGTGAGCAACCCCGAGCAGGCACAACCCCACGGGGTCCGCAGAAAAAGCCGAGTCTAGCATCAAGCCAAGTCCAACAGCAAAGGAAGGCGCGACGGTGCAGGGCATTCGCTTCACTGATAATAGCGCCAACCTTCCCGCAGCATGACATAAGACATTCTAAGCAAGTGTCAGTGCAGATGGAAGCGGTGGGCCAATGACCCCAAGGCATCTGACGGACAACACCCGAAATCCAAAGGGGGGGAGTCCAAAGCTTTGCACGCAATGAGGCCCCGCGACGTGCAGGAGCACGAAGCTGGCGGAGTAGGAGAGTGGCGAGCGGAGGGCCAAAGTCCAGGGCACCGGCCGCACAAAGCAGAGTGGATCGGCGAGGGCAGGGGACCGCAGCCAGCCACAAAGGAGTGGCAGTGAGAATTCGAAGCGCCTGGAGCAGATGGCCGACGTTGAGATCACTGCTGTCATACAGAAACAACCTACGAAAGAAATGGAAGATCCTGTACAATCCTATACAACACAGGACTATGTACAGGCCCAAGACCTCAGGATGAACAATCCACTCCTGGGAGTACCATGGCCGACTCGTCAGGATGCAGTCTCTTCCACGCTGAGCGACGTCAGAACCGTAAGATTGCCGCATAAATCCACCGGGCCTGGTCATCAAAGATCGGCCTCCTCGACCGCAGGTTCCTCGAGAGCTGTGTGAAAAGGGCATGGCAAAGTCACCAGTGTCCTCAGCGCTATGGAACTCCAGTCGACTGGAATGTGTCCACAAGTGGAAATATTCTGGGTCAGAATGCCTGCCGGGAAGAGCCACTCCTGTGCTGTGGATGGGCCGAAATCGCTGAGGCCATATAAGCTGCCCTCTGCCGCGAGGGCAAGTAGGAGAGACCCCTGTCGGAGAAGAGGCAGCGCATCTTGGTTGGCTCGGCACATCCGCAAGAAGTTCTGCAGTTGCTTGAGCATTTCGCCCGCACCGGGGGCACCTTCGTCGCCAAGAAGTAAGTCTGGTAAGCCATACCAGATTGCCTCGCTGCGCTGTTGGACATCCTCGGCAGCCTCGCCTGCAACCGGCGGAAAGGACACCTCCTGGATTTCCGATCGTGCCAACTGGCCGACTAGGTCCTGTCCGTGGTCCTGACAGTACTTCACAACCAGCCGCCAAGCTGCCTCCCAAGTAAGGTCCTGTCTGGCGGTCGTCGCCGGGATCAGCTCTTCCTCGTCTGTGGGGTCCGGTCCGCGCTGGGGTCGTTCTGGCGTCATGCCAGTGCTGAAACGGTTCCAGGGCTCCGCCGACAAACTTACCTCCCTCCGCGGACTCTTGGAAGGTCTCGCAGCCTTGGATCCTCTGAAACTCTATCGTCGCTTGGCTGGCACTTCGGACACTGAGGTGTCCATGGGCGCAGCCGGTGAATAGGCCAAATCGCAGCCAGGGTGGGGGCCACTTAAAGGACTGCTGAAGTGTCGCAGCGGAGGAGTACCGAAAGTGGGCCTCGTGCTGGCTGACGACGATAAGCTTGGTGGCAGAACCTCGGGCTGCACCACGCTGAATGCTCTTAGCTGGGAGGCCAGTCGTAGAACTTCGCTTTCCTGACCAGTTGTCCATATTGGCCCCAAGCTCGCCAGAGCCGCTTGCACCTGGTCCTGGGGATCCACCTCCAGGCTCATAGTTGCTTCTTGAAGGGCACCAATGGCGTCTGTTTGGTCTTGATCCAGCTTGGCTGCAATATTGTGAAGCCGATCCGTTAGAGCCATGAGGTGTTGACCGAATTTGCCCAGCCAAGCATGCGCTGCGTCCCGCAGGGCTGCTTTTGCTTTCATATTGCCATTCAGTCGTTTGTTGATGCGGTCCAGAGAGTTCGCTCTGGATTGTGCAACTTGTTGCGCAGTCTGGTCGGAAGGTAAAGCCACTGCATCTCGAAAAAGCCCCGCTGTTGACCGAGCCGATATGGCCTGGAGGGCCGAGGTCACCGGCTGCGGGAGCCCAAACTGAATAATATCCACATGCTCCTCCTGGCCAGGGTTCTTTCCCTTTCCTTTCGGCTGCGAAGAGGTTGTCGGAGCACCACGTCCTCCTTTGGGAGCCATACTCCCGTGGTGGGTCTGTGCTTCCTTTCCCACGCACTGAGGCCGTGGCGATGTGCTTTCTTGCGAAGCTGAGAGCGGAGGCGTCGCTGCCTCCTGTGCCACGAGGGAGAACCGCTGCGTCTCCCCGTGGTTGGCACCACCGATGTAGATCAGACTGATGCCGGTGCAGAATAGAGATGTCAAAATGCTGCAGACCACCCACGGTCTGCGCATAAGAAGAACTCCACCCAGGTTGGCTGAAAGTCAGCAGCAACAGAAGGAAGAGGTGAATGAAGAAGAGCGCCCACTTCCAGGCGCGCAATTGGCAGAGTCAACTGCAGCAATTGCCCAATCAGCAGATCAAACCGCAGTGATTGGAGCTCACGGGGAGCTATGGCGACCCACCAAGAGGGTGCTACCGGCGCGCCTACGCAAGACGCTGGGGTCTGACCACGGATAAGGGACACAGCACTTCAAGGAAGACGCTGCCCTAAATCCGCCTGAGCCGAGACGCCTCTAAATCCTAAACCCTGAATCCTAAACCACAAGTAACTTAATCTAAGCTCCTTAGCAGCAAACCCAGGTTGAAGGGCGTGTGTGGGACTCGCGCTTCCGAGTGGTCCATGAGGATTTGCAGGAGCCTGGGAGTTGTGGCATCGTGACGCGGCGAGACTGGGTTGCTGTTGAGGTCTGGGGTTCAGGGTTTAGGGTTTGCGGTTTGGGGTTTGAGGTCTTGGGTTTAGGGTTTAATTAAGGCTTTCGTTCTAGGGTTTCAGGGATTTTTAAAAGTTGATATAATTACGGAGCCCGGATACATACCATACGCGAATATGATCACTTAATCTAAGTTCCTTACCAGCGACCGAGGAGAGTATCGGTCCGTGGGTGAGGAGAATTCGGGTTGTGGACGTTGGTGCCAGCACTATGTCCCTCGCGCAGGGCGCTATGATGCTGGGTTGCTGTTAAGAGACTTAGGATAAGTTGGCAGGGTTCCCTTCATACACTAACTGAGTGTACCCCCTATATACCCCGATATAGCATCTATATACCAATAGAATCCTTCCTTATTCTAGTAACTTTGTGTAAGTTCCTTGACATCAGCCCAGGATGTGGCCGTGGCTCACTCCGCATCTGTGTGCTTCCAATATGCCCTGGATCTGCTCAACGTCTCCGCCTTGCACAATGCCCTTTTCATGATCGCAGGTGTTGGGCTGTGGAAAACCACATCTGCAGCCTGCGACCGGCTTAAGAAACTTGCCCCATCCGAGGTGCCACAAAGAACGAATGCCTGGACCAGGGATGGTTGAGCCAGGCGATACAGCTAAACTTCTCTGCGGGAGTGAAGGACCCGAAATGGTATCACCCGAAATCACCATGTTGTCGATGGGACCCTTGTTCAGCAAATGCTGGCACTGTTCAGGAGCTCCTGCACTGGGGTGCCAGCCCAGACAACAGCTCGGTGGGTGCGACTCCTTTGCAGACCGCAGCGGTTCCCCGGCTCGGCTCGATCGCTTAAAGGGAAGCTGGTATTTGAAGAGTATTCGAGTCGGTAACTGCAGACTTCAGACTCCGTAGAGGGTAGAGTATTAGGCCAAGATCTTCCATTTTCCTGCCTCTCATTTGTTCTCCTTACATTCCAGCTGCCTGCCCCCTGCGCCTCCTCGGAAAGAGCAAGGCGATCGTCGATCCCTTGCCTCTTGCATTCATCAGCTTTTGACGCTTTGAGCCATTCGGCCGAGGCCCATGGCAACATCGGGGCCCTTCGGCAGGTTCTGAATGCGAGCACCGATGTCGCTGCCAGGACTGAAGCGCTGGTGGCCGCAGGAAGCCACTGCCACGCCGAGGCCCTGGAGCTGTTGGCAGATCATGGCGCGACCGTGGCCAACAGCAGCAAGTGCGACGATTCGATCCTTCTGCGGGTGGTCAAGGAGCACGCCATGAAAACGGAGGCGTGTCAGCAGAAGGCTCAAGGTGCAACAGTTGAGGGCACTGCGCGGAACTACACGGCCCTCTGGGACGTCCTGTCCGCCCTGCGAAAGATGAACAGCGCTTCGTACAACGATTGCAGAGGCGGGCATGCCCCGCAGGGTGTTCCAAGTCTTGAGGGCTGCTTAGCGAGGATTTGATTGTTGTGTGATGGTTTAGGATGAGTTGCTTCATCTTGCTTCATGTTTGCTTCAGAGGCCTGGCATTGAGGAAGGCGCTGGCACGAACCGACTTGGGGGCCGTGAAGTTGCTCTTGGATGGAGTGAAGAACGTGGACCAGCTGGCAGGCCTCCCCCCCATTTGCCGGGTTTGTGGCGTTCGTTCATAGGCTTGCTTGTGTGAGAAGAAGGGGTTGGCCCCAGCTCACCTCACTGCTTTCCTGCAGCTCTGACGCAGGAGCCCCGCCGTTGGCAAAGAGCTTGGCGAACCTCCTGTCTGCGAAGACCTTCACGGATGACGTCTTCCTGAAGGCGGCGACCCTTCTCCACGCGCATGGCATGGACCTGGAGCCCAAGAAGAAAGCTTTGCTGCCCTTCGCAGCCGAGCGCTGCAACGTGGGGTTGGTCAAAGGCCTTCTTGACCTTGGGGCTGACCCCGGAGGGCTTTATCGCAGAACCAATGCCAGCGTTTGGGCCGATAAGTGTCCCGAGATCGAAAAGGAAGCAATCCAGTCCGAGTTGCGGAAACAGGCAACTTGAACAGTGGACCCTCGGAGGGAGGGTGCCGACACAGCCTGATTCTGGAAAAGAGGTGTTTAAAGCTGAGGTGGGTGCTCCCGGCTGTATCCGGCTGTGCAGTTCCAACTTGCGTGAGGTTGAATTTGCTGTCTGGCTGATATTGCTTGTGCATAATGCCCAGTCATCACATGTTTTGCACCTGGCCAGTTGTTTTTGTCAGGCTTGGCCTGGCTGCCAGGGCGTCGTTTCTAGATGGTGAGGAATCTAGATGGGGAGCGGCGGCGTGGAGCAGGTGGCCTGAATTGTCATAAGAGCTACAATCTAAACTCCTTGAAGTGGGGTTATCTTGTCATATATGCGACTATAAACAGGGGACTAGGACTATATAGGGAACTATATAGGGGACTACTGTGGATACTAGGAGTTTAGACATCAGCTCCTAAGATGCAATGAGCGAAACATGGCGTGTATAGCTGCTTTTGGTCGAGCTGGTCTCTCAATCATTTTCAGAGGAATATAACAGGAATATACCTACTAGAGTCCCTATATTCTACCATATTCCTGTTATATTCTTGGGGTTCCCTGTTTGGAGTTCCCAATGAAGTGTCCTGGAGGAGTTTCTAAATCCGAGGGCCTGCCTAGTTTGTGGTTCACAGGTAGTGATGCTGTTGACACTGGAATTTCTCGCATGACTTGTTTAGGGTTTAGAGTTTACTATAATCTAATACCAGAACTTCACAAGGTTTGGGATACTTAGGATCACGCAGGATTTTTGGTATCCATCGCAATTCATAACTGTAGCAAGCGATATATGATATACGCACTAGAAGCATCCCAGCGCCTGAACTACCCATGAACACTCGAGTATGACACGTTGACATTGCAAACTACGGGGAGTTGTGGTCAGCTTCTGCGAGTTTTCACCTGAGGCAATTCAGACTCCACATGTTCTGTAAGGTCGAAGCTTTTACCGGCTCCTGAGCTTGACGTCACTTGGTTGGTGATGCAAGAACTTCTGCAGCATGCTAGAATGCCATGATGCTCAAGGTATAGGGTACTTGGGTTACTCAGGGTTTTAGTATCAATCAACCATGACTCAGTTTTATCATGCATGCGTCCGAGGAGTTCGAGTGTCGGGCACAAGTGCTATGATACAAGAAGATACCGGCGCGGATAGCGCTGGCATGCGCTGGCCTTAAGCGCTAGCCTCAGCTTGACCTCAGGCAGCAGAAGAGCTTTCCTAGTGTCTGGTGCAAAGCAATTACGCATTAGGCTCTGTGTGCAGGTGCTTGATGAACCCCCATAGACGCCATTGCACTGCTAGGTGATGTGAGCAAAAATCTCAACTCCTCAAGGGGGGGTTATAAAGGGAATTATATAGCGGAGTATTACAGCGGTTCTTAAGAGGGATGCTAGGACTTTAGACTATGGCTCATGTGGCTCCTAGGCCTGCGGAGCAGCATGGGCGGCAGCCTGCGATTTCTGGCGAGGCCCTCAGCGACGTAGCAACATGCCCAAATGTGGTGTGAAAAAGAATCGACTACCTTAGAAGAGGGAGCCAGAGGGAAGTTGGAAGCGCTGTGTTTGGTCACATCGTTCCACTTTTCCCCATGAGAGGATGTGCAAGGATTCATGAAGGATACAGGGTTTAGGGTTTAGGGTGATAAGTTTTCTTAGGTACCTGGGTTCATGCTGGATTCTGGTATCGGAGGTACTTCAGATGTGCTCACATGCGTCGAAGAGTGAAGTAAGTGGCTCCCATTCAGGATGGCATTGGCCGCCACATGGCCGCAGCCTTCGATTCAGCAACAAACACATGGGTGTGGTATCACAAAGCAGCCGTAATTAGCGATCATCTTTGCAGATCGAGCCGGAGGGAAGTTGGAACTGCTGGGGTTGGCAACATCTCTCATCTGTGACGTTCATGTTTCCATTGCTGCCCAGTGCGGTTTCGGCCCTCAGCAGCGTTAGACTTCAAAGTCTCCGTGGCCCGCCCGCGGCGCGTCACGGGGCAATGTCCACGTTGGCTGCCAAGTTCCCGAAGCTTGGCCAAAAGGGTAGGGTGAATTCTGGCTTGAAGCAGGCAGGGTGGGCTTTTTGGAGGGGCTGAGGCTCGACGCCTTTCAGACCAGGGGTTGTACGGAAAAGCCAATGGGCGCTGCAAGTAGCAGCTAACAAAAGGTACAAACCCCAAAGGCAGTAGG